GGTTTCAGAATTGTGTGATTAGGGTTTACTGTTTCATTTTTTTTTTTTTTGTTTGTTTGTGTTGTAGTTTTTATTTTATAATTATTTTGTTTTTGTTTTCTTTTGTGATTTTGTGATTTTTTTTTTATTTGCTTTAATACCTTTCATTTGTTGTTATGACATTGTTTGTGGCTAATTTTTAAACATTGAGGACAATGTTCATTTCTAGGTTTGGGGGTATTGGAGTTTAACATGTAAATTTGGTTTTTCCTTAATTTAATTTTTTTTTATTTGCTTGTTTTTATTTTTATTTTATTTTGTTTAAGTCTTGCTTTTATTTTATTTTTTTATTTTGAGTCTTGTTTTATTTTGATTTTATTTCACTTTCCGAACACATTTGATGAGATTGTGATAAATGTTTGCATGACTTAAAATTGGATTTCATTTTATTATTATTATTTAATTATGAAAAAAATAAAAATTTTAAAAAAATAAAATTTTGGCATCGTTCTAGCGTGATATGTTCGAAACCTTCTTTGCACTTGCCATTTGTTTCATAATTTTCCAATTAAAGGATTTGCATGATCTAAAGAATTGTATGAAGCATAAATTAGACTTATATAACCAACCATATAAAGTGAGCTTTTGAGCCTTGTACTTCATTTCATGAGTGTTATACATATACTCTTAATTTCTTGCAATCAAAGTTGTTGTTTGATCTCATTATTCATTGATTTGGTTGAACACTTAAAAGTCATTCATTCTTTTGCAATTTGATTTCATGACATTTAAGAAATGATATTAAGGCCCTCTTTGGATCGTTTGTGCCTTTCAAGCTAACCTTATGCATGCTTAAGCATGATTTTCCATTGTTAACCATTTTGAGCCTACATGTAAACCTTTTCTTTCATTTACCAATTATATTTCCTTGCCTTAGCCTGAAAAACAAATATTTACCTTTCTAAGGAACTCATGAGCTTTAATTGAGATGTGTTTTTCATACTAAGTTTGGGAAGAGGTGTTACATTTCGAAGAAAAAAAAATCACACAATTGGTGAAAGAAAAGAGAAAAGTTGTGATTAAGTGATGGTTGATTGAAAATTCATTTTTGGGCCTTCAAAATAAATTGGTGTTTGGAAAGGAGTGTGAATCAATGTAAATGAAGGTATAAGGAGTTTTGATCATGTAAAAGAAAAAATCTAATCGTGATGATTCGAAATCTTGTAAACTTTTTTTTTATGCTCTTACATTGTGAGTTCCTTGGACTTTGTATTATCCATACCTTTCATTTCTTACTCACCTTACACCCTTGGGGGGCCATTGAGGAAGAGTGAGTGAGATGGAGGACATGTGTGGCGCAACCATATATATATATATAATTAAACAAGATTATTAAGGACCTATTCATTTTGGGGGAAATCTTCTTCTTTTTTGGGATAGATTATTCAATTATCTTTATGAGATAACCTAGCACTACAAGAAAACCCCCCTTTACTGACAGCTCAACAGCGTCACTATAGCCATTAGATGACGGTTCCAAAAGCGTCAGCGACGCCAGTGTCCGGAAAGGGTACCACCATAGTTGACACTTATTATCCGTCAAGCAATAGTGTTTCCTGACGGGTAAAAAACGTCAACAAAGGCTTTTCTTGTCACTTAAAAAGCATCAACAAATATATTTCCTGACATTTAATAAATCTTTCTTGACGGTTCTTAGCCGTCAAGAGTTGTACAACTGAAATTAAAAAAAAAAAGAAAAAAAGAGAGCTTCCTGTACAACCAAAGTTTCAAAGGATTTAATAACTAAATGAATATATTAAAAAAATGTCAAGCTGAAATTTAATATCCATTAAAGTAGAATATTTTGATACAAACATTCAAAAACTCCTAATACATGGTGAAATAAACCAAGCTATCTAGTACGATAAAACATAAAACTTCTAACTTAGAAGCTTGACTTTCCATAACACTTGTCTTTGTAGTTTAAGTTTCCATGATCGTATCAATCTGCCAATAGATAAGACATAAATTTTAAAGAGTTAAGAGATACAACCAATGAAAACATCAAGCTTGTCCAACACCAATGGAGTCTCACTCTCATATCATGCACATATTCATTACCATATACAAATGCCCACTTCTTTTGATTCAAATGCAGAGAAAGACTTTAAGCCAACTATGCACAAAGTATGAGTACACACAATCACATTTCCTTTTACTTTTTAACTTTAAAAAACAATCACATCTCCTCAATTTATCAAATCTCTCTTTTACAGACCCCATTGTATTCGTTAAAAGAAGAGGAGATCCAATCAAATCTTTGAAGCTGAAACTTGCCATATAAAATAACAGATTAACCAATTCCTACCCAATCTGTGTTGTTTAGAAAGTTATTTGGAATTCTTTAAAGAGAGGAAACCAAAAGTCTAATCAATGAGAAAAATTATCACCACAATTAACAAAAAACATAAATTTAATTCCTTGACCTTTTTTCTTCAAGACTACCATCTGACCAGCTAATGTACTATAGCATGTACCTGCAAAATTAAAAAGCAACTCAAAATATTGCCCAATTGAATATTATAACAATAACTGCTACATAAGACCAAATAATTGAACCTAATAGTGATATCTATAGAAACAAAACTGTACATTTTGCATCTTAAAGTCAAGTGGCGAGACCAAAAAGAAAACAAAGAATTTTAATAATTTTAATTGTATAACCAAAATCCAAACTACCTAAATAAATTTTAAATAGAAAAAATAAAATAAAATGTACCTGTCTGCTGAAGGTTTAAGATTGGAATCATGCACTTGTTGTTCTGATGACTCCACATCTATCTTCACCATTCTCATCCTTTAAAATCCATGTACTCCTTATATCCCCAATAGCCATATTAAGAGAAAATAAATTTCAATATCCCTTTCTTCTACCTAGAAGACTAGGTAGCCATGCCTCAAGTAAAATCCATGTGTATAAGAAAAAGTTAAAAAGGAAAAATGAAAAATAAATAAATAAAATCAGGTTAAGAAAAAGTTAAAAGGAAAAATGAAAAATAAATAAATAAAATCAGGTTCTGTGGCTAGCTTAAGACAAACCTGAACTAGTAACATTGGTGGCCCAATAATTCAAACTCATACTAGGGCACCACAATATGTATTTTGCAACAAAAGTCCATGTTTTTTTAAAAAAAATTCAGTCTTTTCTTAGTCAATTTAGTGCTGAAATCTCCTATACCAGTACTTGAGTCAACAATTTGTCTCTCCTTTGTTTAAAGAATCCGTTATTGTTCTAACTTCTAAGCCACTTTTTTTCCACAAATGAAAACAAAAACAAAAACTCTGGTCAGCCTTTACTGAAATAACAGATCCAACTCTAAGAACATATATCTACCAATCTGGCGAAAAAAGAAGAAGAAAATAAATTCATTTTGTACCTGTATGTCATTGTGAAATTGTGAATCCGATTTTCAGCTACATAAAGAAAACTACATCAGCAAAGGCTACTAGTGTCATCTAATATATCAGCACAATAACCAATTTTTTCTCCTTCTCTGGACTGCCCTAACTCATAGCAACAATGCATTACTAATATGATATTATCATACCCACACAGGGTGTTTGGCCCGAAACTCATACAAACACAGAAAAGAAGGAGAAGAAAAAAAGAATGTTACTGGAACTTACAGCAGTGCAATTTTTCTCAAAAGCCACCTTGTACCAAGGCTGAATTTGAAGAGGTTTCCCCTGATTTCCACTAACGCATGCCTGAATTTTGCAAACCTAGAAATTTTTTGCAGATTTGACTCTATGGGCAACAATCGAGACCCAATTGGAAGTTTTTTGACCTAGAAATACTGAGAGATAGGAGAAAAGAACTTCTCGATCTCGTTTGGCGTCAAGATTTGAGAACCATGTATAAGGAAGAGAAAAAGACAGAGGTGAAGAGAAGAAGGGGAAAATAAGAAAATAAGGAAGAGAAATAGGGTAGCACCAGATCTAAAAATGGAGAAGTCTAGTTGTGCAGAAAAGATCAGGAGGCCATGGAAAGAAAGATAGAGGAGAAAAGCTCAGATCTGTGAACTTAGGAGAGAACCCTACAGTTCGTGAATTTTAGGAATGAGATTTATTATTTATTATTTTGTTGAAAGGAAAGATATTTAAGATACCAACTCAGCCGCTCAGTCCATCCAAAAAAAAATAATTAATTAAAAAATTATGCTGCTTAGTCAAAATGTTTTGTAGAAAACGTCAGGTTTTGTAGAAAACGTCAAGTTTTATAAAGGTCTTACTTGATGGTTTTCTAAAAGCGTCATGTATATATAGTCTTACTTGACGGTATTCAATAAGCGTCATGATTATGCCACATATAGTTTACGCTTTTTAAAAAGCGTCAAAACCAAGCATTATAGTTGATGGTTTTTGCTAAAACGTCACCAATGAAGTGTCAACTAATCATGTTTTCCTTATAGTGCATGTTTATAATTGAGTGATGCATTGAAGCCCTCTTCTGAGTGATTCATTTGTGAGAGGACAACTTTGGTGAGATTTGAAGTTGCATTTGTGTTTGGTATGATTTTTGAAATTGTGTAAAAACTAAGATTGGGGAATTTGTTGCATTTGGCTATCACACTACTACACTTTGAGCGTGTTGTGTTTTGAACTTTGCCACCTTCTAAATATTGTTTAAAAACTGAGCTTTTATTTTTGAGTCATGTGCATGAGTCATTTCTCTTCATAAAATGTTCGGAAAGATTGTTTTGAGTTTTTAATTATTTCTGTTTTTATGTTTCTTTTATTTTGGTTTTTATTTTTATTTTTTTGTTTTGTTTTGTTTTTGTAATTATTTTTGTTTTTGTGTTTCTTTTATTTTGCTTAAGGACTAACAAATCTAATAAGTTTTCTAACCACTTTGTTTTGTAGAGTTAGTGAAACGTTTGTGGGTATCGTTTCTGTTAAACCCTCAGGAGACACAACTCCTCCTACTAGGGATGCCTAGAGGTTTAAAGGCTTGTTGCATATGCTGAATGCAATCGAGTTACCTGCGGAAGTGGTTTAGTTAACTTCTTGTTTTGCTTTTACCTTTGTTTTCCTTTTGTTTTGCTCGATCTCTAGAACTACCCAAAACACCAACCACTCCAATTAGGAACGAACTGCCTTTGAACTTGAATTGTCCAATTTCTTACACCTATTGATTTCGGATCGAGCCCAAGACTTGGGCAACATCATAATATGGTGGGAGGAGTCATTTGCTTAGTTTTCAGTGAAATCCGATCTCTAGAACTATGAAATACACCAACCTCTCCGATTAGGAACGAACTGCCTTTGAACATATATTGTCCAATTTCTTATACCAATTCATTTCGGATAGAGCCCAAAACTTAGGCAACATCATAATATGGTGGGAGGGGTCATTTGGTTGAGTTTGAGTGAAATCCGATCTCTAGAACTACCCAAAACACCAACCACTCCAATTGGGAACGAACTGCATTTGAACTTGAATTGTCCAATTTCTTACACCTATTGATTTCGGATCGAGCCCAAAAGTTGGGCAACAGCATAATATGGTGGGAGGAGTCATTTGAAATCCGATCTCTAGAACTACCCAAAACACCAACCACTCCAATTAGGAACGAACTGCCTTTGAACTTGAATTGTCCAATTTCTTACACCTATTGATTTCGGATCGAACCCAATACTTGGGCAACATCATAATATGGTGGGAGGAGTCATTTGGTTAGTTTTGAGTGAAATCCGACCTCCAGAACTGTGGAATACACCAACCACTCCGATTAGGAACGAACTGCCTTTGAACATGTATTGTCCAATTTCTTACACCAATTCCTTTCGGATTGAGCCCAAAACTTGGCCAACATCATAATATGGTGGGAGGAGTCATTTGGTTGAGTTTGAGTGAAATCCGATCTCTAGAACTACCCAAAACACCAACCACTCCAACTAGGAACGAAATGCCTTTGAACTTGAATTGTCCAACTTCTTACACCTATTGATTTCAGATCGACCCCAAAACTTCGGCAACAACATAATATGGTGGGAGGAGTCATTTGGTTGAGTTTGAGTGAAATCCGATCTCTAGAACTACCCAAAACACCAACCACTCCAACTAGGAACGAAATGCCTTTGAACTTGAATTGTCCAACTTCTTACACCTATTGATTTCGGATCGACCCCAAAACTTCGGCAACAACATAATATGGTGGGAGGAGTCATTTGGTTAGTTTTGAGTGAAATCGGATCTCTAGAACTAACCAAAACACCAACCACTCCAATTAGGAACGAACTGCCTTTGAACTTGAATTGTCCAATTTCTTACACCTATTGATTTCGGATCGAGCCCAAAACTTGGGCAACATCATAATATGGTGGGAGGAGTCATTTGGTTA